AAATAACCTTTTTTTTATTATTATTATAGTTTGGGTTTTGTGTTTGTTTTTGTTTTCACAGGGATAAACTAGAAGTTGTAATCTTGACTTTTGCCATGCCTGACCTAGCAGCTTTTTATAGCTAGTGGTCTCAAAGAGCCATATAAGTGGAATATTTATAACTAATTGTAAGCATGTGGTGAATTAGATGAAGTTTTCCTTACAGTTAATAAACAACTGTTTACAATTAAGCATTAGCATTTCTGGTCCTGCACATCTCTTCAGATCAACCAGTCAATCAGAGACTAGAGCACTGTGTGCATACAGTGGGACATGTGCTCTACAATCAGCAAAAAAGTCTCTTTTTTTTTTATTTTTCTATGACACAACATGCAAAAGAATATAGGAAGGTGAACTATATTTTGTGTATAATGAACAAACAAGAAGGGCTGTGTCACTCATAAACAAGTAGTAAGTGTAATCTGGGCTGCGATGAGTTAGTAATGCCTTTCCTAACATATAACCACAAAGGGGAGGATGTGCCTGTACTAACCTCTGTGCTGTAACATTCATTTTCACTAGTGTTTTCAGTGCCATTGAAGGATCAAAGCAGATGATGGCTTTCTGCTGGCAAAAATTCTGCCTCTCCATTCCAAGACCTTTTTTGCAGTTTTCACATATACTGCATTACATTGGTTCTTAATATTCTGTACGGTTCCTGTTATATTATTCCAAACTACTTAACCCTTTAAAACAATATCCGGTCATGTTCACAAGCTCTGTTTCTTAGTTTTCATTACTTTATACTTAAGGCTACTTCAAAGAAGGGATAACGGGATAACCTCTCCTGCTTGTACAGTAGACCAATTGCAGAGACAAAAGCCAAGTTCATGGCTTTCTATGTCATTAGTCTGTGTATTTTACATGGCCCTGTCAGAAAAGCTTTGTCAAAACAGGAGACTGTAAGATGTGCCTTGGGATAGTCACGCAATATAAAGCAAGCTGGGTGTGACAGAGATCAGAGATGAAAGTTGATGACTGGACTTAATGTGATGTGAAATGTTTTTGTATAGTAACTGTCAAATGCTGTGTCATAATTATAAAAGACATGATTGTTACTGGAGATCAGTGGCTTAATGGTGAGTAACCACAAATAAACAGACTGAAGCGGTTGGAATTGGTGAGCTCCAGGGGTTCCTTTCAACCTTAAGAAACTGTTTCTTAAATAATTTTGTTGATATGAATAATTCACTGCTTTGTCAAATAAGCCAAACAGGCAGGGTATTATTTTTTCTCTTTGAGCAGAACTGCCTTTACTGATATTTGCAGCTGGTAGAGACGTGGCCCACATTCAGTGCTGTTAAGCTGGTTTGCATACAGGTAGGATGTATGAGAAATACAGTCACAAAATGTGCTTGAGAGGCGACACAGAAAGGTTATACAATCCATGCTCCTGCCCTGGAACAAGGTTTTCTTGTCTGCCAAGCTATCTGAGAGCTGGTGCTAACAGTCAAATATTGATTACTTCATGATTTTAGTGACCATTAGAATTAATTATTATAGGGAGGAGGTTTAGAGATTAGGAAGAAATTCTTTATTGTGAGGGTGGTGAGGGACTGGAACAGGTTGCCTAGAGAAGTTGTGGACGCCCTAGCCCTGAAATTGTTGAAGGCCAAGTTGGATGGGGCCCTGAGCAACTTGATCTACTGGAAGGTGTCCCTGCCCATAGCAGGGGAGTTGGAACTAGATGATCTTTAAGGTTCATTCAAACCCAAACCATTCTGTGATTCTATGACAGAACCACAGAGATTGGAAGGGACACCTGGAGGTCTGTCAAATATCCTTCTCAAAGTATATTCAGCTGGAGGAGGTTGCTCAGGGCCATGTCATGGTGGATTCTGAATCTCGGTAAGGATGGAGATTCCACAGCCTCTCTGAGGAATGTGCTCTGGTGTTTGACCACTCTCATGGGAATTATTTTTTAAAACCTATATCTAGCCAGAATTTCTCTTGCTCCAGCCTTGTGACCATTGCCTTTTGTCTTTCCACCAAGTACCATCTTCTCTGTACCCTACAATCATGTAGTTGTATTGTGACCATTGTTTCTTATTTGCACTGAAATAGACCCTGAAGAAGCAATATTGCAGTCCCAGCTCTTCCACAGAGCTGCAAGAGGACAGTGAAACCTCTTAATAGAGAAGCATATGGTTTTTTAGTTGTTTGAAAAGCATTTGTGCAGAGGCTGTTTCTTCTTGTTTTAAACTTGCTTTTGAATAGTTGCTAGACAGAAAAAAAAGCAGCATTGTCACAGGGCAGTGAAGGACATGAAAAAAACCCCAGCAAACAAACTTTTTCCTATTTTCTAACATCTTCCAAGGAACAGCAGTGTTACACATTAACATTCATGAATCAAGAAATCTACTGACTAGATTACCTGGAGGTATTATTTCACTCTGCTAAAACTTGGAAAGAGCAAGTTAAATCATTCTGTTTCTGCTACTGAGCCTCCATTAAGGAAAGAACCTGCAAAGCTGTACGGGTGTATGCATGCACGTTAGTGCATGCAACTTGTGTGCCCAGTACCTGTGCACACTGATGCCTTCCATAACAGTATTTTATCACTTCACAGTTTTGTGAGCATAACTCTCCAGGCATAACTGTCTACCAGTGCACATAATTTAATTAATATGCTTTCATGGGCCGATTCCATGGCTTCACTTAGTAACCAGAGAAGAGGAAAAGTTACTCTGTAACTACAAATGTGTGAGGTACAGAGGGGAAAACTATGATTTCATGTGGAAATTCCATGAAATCTCCAGTTTTAACCTCAGAAATAGAGTTAGCAGTAAAGCCTAGTTAGTTTTTACAAGTCATACTAATTTTCAAACACAAAAACTTCCATACTGACACAGACTGACCTTCATGACTCTTGTTATTTAAAGATTCTATTCAGCCTTTATGATGGATTAACTAAGCTCTTTATTGGAAACTCATAGATGCCCAATGATCATTGATCATCTCCAGGCTACATAGAATGTGCAGAGCACGTTCCCTATTAGTACTTTCTCCATGCATGTGTTGCTTCCAAATGGCTGATATTCAAAAATCATGAGGAAAAAAAAAGAGATGGAAATTGATTATGAGGAAACATTTTTATACAAAAGATGTGAACGGAAATTAGGTCCTCAGGATGCATTTATTGTAAGAGCAGAAAGATGCATTCTGTCATTAAGATAGTTTTTGTCGGGAAAACTAGTCTTGGTTCAATAAGGAACTGAAAACAACTATTTGATATAAACAAAACATGAAAACAGTGAGGAAACTATGCATAGTAATCAATATAAAAAAAATTGCTCTGCAAATTGATAACAGAAAGCTAGAAATATGAAGGAAAATCCATAGCAGATATTTTCTACATATACCTGAATTAAAAAAAAGAGGTCATAGTGAGGGCATAGGTCCTTCTAAATTGTAATGCACAAACTGTTAAAATAAAAGGGGTATTTGGTGCAGGGTTCTTGGTTTTGTTTGTTTGTTTTAAAAAAATTAACTTCAGGAGATCAGCTAAAAACATTCCTCCACTTGATGGCAACTGTTTATTTTTGTCAGAGGTGTTTTGCTCATCTGGAAGGAAATGCATAAGGCATAACTTATTTGGTAATTAGTTTTGGTGAAATCGGTTGGTCAAAAAATGTACTACTACATCTGGGAATGACATAAATTACTATATACCTGCCCCAATCATGAATACAGTTGGGGACAAACCTACTTTTATAGTGCTATAGAAATATATGCCTTGAAGCCAGGGCTACGTGTTTAAATTAGGCAAAAATTCCTAGTATATAAAGCAGGGAACAGATTAGCATGCTATTTCATATCAGGTTTATTTTATAATTTTATATATGGTTTCATTTCAGTACCACTTTGTAAGTGAAAATCTTTATGGTTCAGTTTGGGCTAAAGTTTGCTCTTTGTAATTTCCTATTTCACTGATGACTAATTAATAGTAATTAAAACAATCTTCAAAGAGTCTACCTTACCAGGATTTGGATGTAGGTCCACCCTAACATGTGCAGCAGTATTTTAGTGTTGAACTAAAACTGGAGGTCACATAACACTCTGCAGATTGCAGAGCTGTAAGTAGAAAAATTCATTGCAAGTGGTATGTCAGGGAAAAATTAATATGAAAACAACAAACCAACACCCCTCCTCCCCCAAAAAAAACCAAACAAAACAACCAAATCCCACAACAAGAAGGAAATACAAAAACTACAACCAAAAAAACCTAAAACCAACCAACCAAGCAAAACCCCACCCCAACAAACACATTCCTTTGGTTATGATTTTTTTTTATGAATGCGTATGGTTATAGCTTATCCCACAAAGCAAAGGCTTTTACATGAATGGCTTTTACATAAGCGAACATGAACGTTCCCTCTACACCTGATGACCAGCCCATACCACTCCTTTGGCTTTTGGCTGTGGTACTATACATTGACCACATAGCATCTGTGGCCACTAGAGCCGGTTCAGCGTGATGCAGGAGTATCGTACACCAAGAGCCAAGTGTGGGAAAAGTGACCTCCACTATTAGCACCAGTGGAAGAGGTAATGAGGAAAATTTCAGCATCGAATTTGAAAATTTTAGGGAAGAGAGACTTCCGCGAGGTATTTTAAACAGCGTACCTCTATAGGAGGGGATGTGAGTAGCGGAACACTTGTTACTGTGATCCCCAAACCCATGTCCTTCAGGAAACTTCTCCTTACAGGAAACGCCTCCCTGTGCTGGCCCAGTCACCGGCTCAGCAGCAGCCGGACCGGCCCCGGCCCCAGTCCCAGCCCCGGCCCCAGCGCCGCCCCGGCAGCAGCGCAGGTCGGGCAGGCGGGGCGGGTGGCGGGAGGAGGGAGGCGCGGCCGGGCCGGGCCGGCACAGCGCGCAGTGCCCGCCCGCAGTGCTCGCCCGCGGGGAGCTCCGCTGCCCGGCTACTGTTCTTGCCGGACTTTCGGGCTGCTGTCCTTTTCCAGACTTTCTGTGCCCGCGGCATGGCCGGGGTGCCACGGGGAGAGCGCCTCTCCTTCCGCGCCTTCCGGGCCGCCCGGCCCGCCGGGTGCGAGTACGGGTACGGGGACGGAGACGGGCTGAGCGGGCTCCGGGAGCGAGAGTTCCCCCGGCTCCGAGGTACCGTGGGCGGCCCCGAGGGGCGGGAGGGGGCGGGCAGGACTGCGGGGGGCGGGCCGGAGGCGGGGGACGCCCCGGCCATTCCCGTCTCGACTCGTCTTCTGGCCTTGAAATCGCTGGTGCGAGCAACCGGAGGCGGGGATGCTGTGAGGAAGGGACGCGCTCAGCTTGCTGCAGTTCTCTCAGCTATAGGAAGGCGATAAGGGGGCGCTCTCCTCCCTCTCAGTCGCTCCCTCTCCCCTAATGCCCCAGAGGTGCCGTGGGTCCAGTGTTTTGATACAGCGTTTTGATACAGCAGCAAAATGCAAAGAGAGAGATTCAGGGCGGGGGAAGGAGGGGAGGGATAAATAAAAATGGTAAAACAGCCCTTGGCTAGCAAAAGTTTGTGGTTAGACAGGCCTTTGTGAACTACTTTTGCAGATTTGTATGGATTTTCCCATCCCCCAGCATTCAGCATCCTTGCACATGCTACGTCAAATCTAATCGTGATGGTTATAAACCAACAATTTATTTTACTTAAAGGGGTATCAATGCCCGTGATATTAGCAATTCAGAATACTTGGGGGAAAAACAAAGTGGGGAGTGGAGTAAATAACATCAGTTTGGATGTCCTGAAACTGCTATTTAGGCCACTCTTTCTGTTAAGTTTCATATTACTTCTCTTTTCGTAGTATCTTTGAATTTTGGTTATCAAATACAGGAGTGGGCTTTCTCACACGGGTGTTTAGTAAAGAATGGAGTTACACTTTGCTTCTAGAGGGATGTGGATAAAAATTAAGCAACAGTTTGAAGAGCCTTAAGATTCAGTAGTTGATTTCACAGTCTGGTTTTAGACAGATTAGTTGTGTCACTGAAAGTTTGAATACAAGAAATTACTTGTTCTAAATTCAGACTTAGATCCTGAAGAGTGGGTGTTTTGTAACTCAAACATTATTTAGGCATTTAAGCTAATGACTTTTCAAAACTCCCAAGTATCAGACTCATTTCTCAGAGACTCCCTAGTTTTGAAATGAAGTGTATCCGGTAACGAATGATGTCTGGTAAATCAGTCTGGTTCCCAGAGAGGTTACTGCAAAGGCAGAGCATTAGAAGTTTTCTTCCATTTGAAAATATTTTGGCTAATGTAGGCTACTGAGTTACACTTTGGTTATGCAACCTACTAAAATATGATGTAGATGATAGATAATTTAGAGTATTTGTAGAAAAAGATAAATAGGTATAAAATAGAATCTGCAACACTATTAGCTAATCGAAATCACATAATTGTCTATGGTAAGATGACCTACGTTGCAAATTCCTTCAGCCCTTTGTTTTCCTCTTTCAAATTTTAGCATTATCCAATTCAGAAACCCATCATCCATTCATCTTGAAAGCTTGTCACCTCTGTGAGGAAACTCAACATCCCTTAACTGGTTGCTGTACCTGCATGTGGTATCCTTTGTCTTAAAAACACTGGCATATCTCCTCTAGTCAAGAACTTGTGCCTTCAAAAAATTACCAGCAGTGCCAAATGAAAGGTGTCCAGGGACAGATTCCTAGGCCACATGTCCCCTGCCTTACATGTCTTTTTGTCTCAAAGCTGACTAAAAGTCCAGGATGGACTCTGGGAACTAACTGACAGTGGAGCAGTGTGTATGACAAGCATGTTGCTTGTATTTATACCTTGGACTCCTTTTATTTACCCGTGTAGATATATCCCCACTTGCTGAAGGTCTTGGCACATTAATGTTGATGTTATAAAAAGTTTTTTAAAGCTCTAGATTTTGTTGCCTTGTGGAATTAAGGCAATGGAAAGGTGGCTATTGTGCAGGTTGGCAGTAGCAATAGTAAGTAAAGGAACCTTCTCCAGATGACTTAGCAAAAATGAGAATTTAGCTGCTCAACCATTTTCAGTGACCTGCCAGAATGTCCAGGTTGTGGAATGAGGTAGAAGTTTTACATCTCTAGTGGCCTTGGATCAGCTCTGTGGATAAGTCCTGACTGTACAAACAGTGATTCACTGAGGAACTTGTAGCTGTTCATGGGGTTTATCTCTGCTGGGTGTCTCCCTACTGCACCAAGTTCCTGCAATTTTATCCCTTCTAGTAAAAAGCAATCTTAACTTGTTCCATTGGGCAAAAGAGAATGACTTCTATTTTAGGGAGTTAACAGTAGTCATAGAATCAGAAAATGGTTTAGGTTGGAAGGGACCTTAAAGATCACCTAGTTCCAACCCTCTTGCCATGGGCAGGGACACCTTTCACTAGACCAGGTTACTCAGAGACCCATCCAGCCTGGCCTTAAACACCTCCAGGTATGGGGAGTCCACAACCTCTCTGGGCAACCTTTTCCAGTGTCTTACTACCCTTATAGTAAAGAATTTCTTCCTAATATCTAATCCAACCCTGTCCTCTTTCAGTTTGAAGCCATTCCCCCTTGTCTTATCAGTACGTGTCTTTGTGAAAAGTCCCTCTCCAGCCTTCTTGTAGGTCCCTTTAGGTACTGGAAGGAGCTCTAAGGTCTCCTAGGAGCCTTCTTTTCTTCAGGCTGAACAACCCCACCTCTCTTATACTGTGCTCTATTTATTTGGGGCATGCCTTAAAGATCTTGCCATCATTAAAGCTGGATAGAAGTCCAGATTTTGCTGCTCACTTTTCATGTGAACAGAATTTTTTGAGTCTCTGTCTAGATATCCATGAATGTTCAATTTTGGAAGTGTAATCTTCTGAGCACCATGTGATAATAATTATTGCATATCAATCTATTCACTTCTTCCTGATTGCTGATGTTTTGTGGCATCCTCTCAGGACATCTTGTGCAAATTATGTTCTCTGGGGAAGGCATAAATTTTTTCAGTGTTCGCTTGCATGGTGCTTGTGCTTCTGTTTTAGCTCTAGTATGAATAGTTGCACAAATGCCTGTTGAGAAGAAGGCACAACAGATGTGTTATAGGGAACACCGGCTACCAGGCGTACTGTGACACCAGGATTTTTCAAAGGTGGTCTACCTGTGGTCCTAACAAAGTCTTGGGGAGTTTCACTTACAGCTCCATTGGAAGGAAAGTAAGGCTCATACTCAGTGTGTGTTGGGGATTTCCCCTTCAGGTTTTGTGAAGAGATAAAAGGAAGTACTTTACTTCCTTAAATCAGCAGGGATCTGTCTCTTTGGCACAGAAGACTTAAATTTTCCCTTTTAAGCCAGTTTATCTTCACTTTTGTAATTCAAGGGCTGTTAGCTGATGGCTAGAGCAGCCCCTTCTAAAAATATATGTGGAGTATGTGAAACGGATCCCTGTTTCACAGGCAGCAGCGTATGTGCAATATGTGACCTTGACTTTAATCTTGTGAGCAGCATACCCTTCTCTGCAGTGTAGGATTTTACACTGCGCTTTCAAAATGGATAAGGAAATCAGCAGGAGTTTATAGGTTCTGTTGTTAAGTAATGGGGATGAATATACTTCTGTGATGTTTATCATAGCAAAGAAAATATCAGCTTTAGTTTGTATTGTGGTTTTAAAAAAGAAAAAGCTGACATGTGATTTCGATGCAGCACTTAGTCCCAAGATACCTTTCCACTTTCAGTTGTGTGCCAGTGTTCTCTTAATATAGCTGTGGTGGTTCAGTGGGAGATTTCCAAGAGCAATAAGCAGTGGATATTCATCCCCAAATAAAAATCAACATGTGTTTGAGAGTATGTATTCTTTAAGGACTGCTGACTATTTGAAGACAGTCTTTAACTGAGGTGAGGTGGACTGTCACACTTAAAGTCAAATCATTTACTGTTCTGTACTTCAACAACAGTCAGGACAAATCATATCTTACCTTAATAGCATGAATATTTGTGATATGTGTGATTACATACAAATAACAATAATAACACAACTTGCCTGTTAAACAAAAAGAAAAAGCAAACTAGGCTTTAAGTAACAGAATTGGCCTTTATTTCTTTGGAATTCCAATGATGTCCTGTGAACCAGTCAGCTGTACGAGAGCTTATTGTGTTGTTCAGTTAAGGAATAGCTGGGTACTGGATCTGACCTTATACGAAAATAAGTCCTTTTAATCATATTGCTAGTAATTATTTTCCTGTTAGTAGGAGATCTTCTCTTTGTGCTGCAGTTAGTCCTCAGGGGCTTGGTTAGCAAGTCAGCTCTGTCCTCTGAGAACAGAAAAGCCTGTTTTGTCACGTTTGGGATAGTCTGGTGTTTTGGCTGAATTTCAAAAGTAGGAAATACATTCTGATGTGTCAGCTCAGAGTAATTTTGTTGATAGGTAGCTGATGCTCACATTTTATGAAACTTGTGAAGATGAGTGTACTGTGAGCCTGAAGAGTTGTGCTCATCTCATGATTGCAAATGTAGGCGGGACCTTAGATTCTCTACTGCTTTGCCAGTTTGCTTGCCTTGTCAAACCAGATATTCTACCAGCCTCATGTCTGAGGTTTTTTCTTTATTTTGAAAAATAAAAAAAAATTTGGAATAATTTTTGTATTCTAAAATAATTAGAGATTTTATTATTTTTTACATCCATGGAGGTTTTTGGGGTTTGTTTAGTTTATGTTTTATTGTTTGGGGTTTTTTTTGAGAGTATTCTGTTTGATCTGGTAGCTATCTTCTGCATGTGTATATGTTACTTTCTGCTGACTTCATAATTATTAGTAATTTTTATCTGTGGAAGAATCTTTTTAATCTCATTTTTTCTTTTTCTTGAAGACTAAGTGACTGTATTTTTGGCAAAGCCTTTTAGAGTTAGGTTCTTTGAGCGATAGTTTTCTCTGACCAAGTTAGCGATATACAAGTCTGATCATGCTTTTTAAAAACCAGTTTGATAATGAGGGATAAGTTTATTTTGATTCATTTTTGTCTAAAGTCTATGCTGAACCAGGCATGTGCCATTTTATGGTCAGATACAATGCTTATTGTGATTCCATGATGCCCACCCACCCATTGCTGGCCAGAGTTAAGCCAGACAGCTACAGTCCCAGGACAGACAGCATCTCCTGGAAAGGACAAATTATTTCAC